TGTTGGGTCCCTAGCACTCTATTCAAGAAGTTTCTTTCTATACCCGTAAGTTCTAATGCTTCGCCTACTCTCTCACAATGGTTTCAGTTTTGAGTCTGATGTTGAAGTCTTTGATCCACTTTGAATTGATGTTAGTGTATGGTAACAAGTAGGGATCCACTTTTAATTTTCTTTGTCGGTGGTGGGGCCTGAACTCTGGGCCTGGGCACTGTCCCTGAGCTCTTCAGCTCAAAGCTAGTGCTCTAGCACTTTGAGCTAGAGCACTACTGCTTTTTCTGCTTATGTGGTGCTGAGGAATTGAACCCAGGGCTTTGTGCATGCAAGGCAAGCACTCTACCACTGAGCCACCTTCCAAACTAGGCCACATGCATATGGTTGCCCAACACCAATTGTTGAAGAGGCTGTTTTTTTGTACTGTATGTCTTTGGCTACTTTATCAAATATCAGATGACTGTAAGTGTATGGTTTTATTTCTGGGTCTTCTATCCCATTAACATTCAGGTCTGTTTTATGTGTGTGGGGTAGGGGGGTTGGGTCGTGGGGCTTGAACGCTGGGTCTGGACACTGTCCCTGAGCTTTTCAGCTCAAGGTGAGTGCTCTACTTGAGCCACTTCCGTGGTTAACTGGTTAAGTCTCACAGACTTTCCTGCCTGGGCTGGCTTCGGACCAAGATCCTCAGATCTGAGCCTCCTGAATAGCTAGGATTATAGGCATGAGCCGCTGGTGCCCGACTCAGGTCTAATTTTGTGCCAATACCAAGCTGTTTTTGTTATTATGGCTCTGTAGTAGATTTTGAAGGCTAGTATTGTGATATTACCTAATTATTATTATTAATTTTTTTTGCCTAGAATTGTTTTGGCTATTCTAGGTCTTTTGTTGTTCCATATGAATTTTTGGATTGCTTTCTCTGAGTATTGAATGTCATTGGGATTTTGATGGGGATTGCATTGAATCTGTACATAATTTTTGGCAGTATGGCCATTTTCACAATATTGAGTCTACTTTTCCATAAACATGGAAGCTTTTTCCATTTCCTGGCGTCCTCTTGATTTCTTTTAGATTTTTATAGTTTTTTGCTATAAATGCCTTTTACACCTTTGATTAGGTTAATTCCTAGGTTTTTTTTTTTTTTTTGAGGCTACTGAAAATGGAATTGTTTTCATGATTTCCCTTTCTGTTTGTATATTGTTCACATACAGACCAGCTAAGCTTTTTGCTGGTTATTTTGGAGATAGTGTCTCAAGACCTATCTTCCCAGGCTGGCTTTGTTTTATGGCCTAGTATGGTGTGTTCTAGAAAACGTTCTATGCACTAAAGGAAAGAATATATATTCTGTAACTATTAGAGTGCACTGTCAATGTTGAGTTCATTTAATCTATAGTGTCGTTTGTCTGTTGCTTGTTTGTTGATGGTTTTGGGTGGTTGTTTGGATGATCCATTGGTCCATACGTGGTATTAAGATTCGTAACCGGGAAGTGGCACTCACTGTGGCTCGAAGTTGTAGAGCACTAGCGCTAGCTCAGGGACAGCTCTCAGGTTCTGAGTTCAAGCCCCATGACTAACCCATAAAGAAAAAGATTCAGAACCAGTGTTTTTCATATCAACTTGGGTGTTCCATTAAAAGGTACATAGAGATTTAGAACAATCAAATCTTGATGAATTTATTTTTATTTTTTTGCTGATTTTGGGGCTTGAACTCTGGGCTTACGCTGTCCCTGAGCTTCTTTTGCTCAAAGCTGGTGCTCTACCATTTAAGCCACAGTGCTACTTGGGGCTTTTTTGAGTAGCTTATTGGAGATAAGCATCTCATCCTCCCCAGGCTGGTTTGGAACTATGACCCTCAGATCTCAGCCTCCTGAGTAGTTAGGATTACAGGAGTGAGCCACTGGTGCCCAGCATGAATTTACTTTTTTTTTTTTGGTTGGTCACGGGGCTTGAACTCTGGGCCTGGGCGCTGTCCCTCAGCTCTTCAGCTCAAGGCTAGCGCTCTATCACTTGAGGTAAAGCGCCACTTCCTGAATTTACTTCTTGTTTAAACAGAGTACTGATACTTTATCTGGTTCCAATGAGTTTGGTTGGCACACACACGTGCACACACACACACACATTTATGTTTCTGAGCTGTTATTGGGGTTCAGTGCCTCACATTCTCACTTGGCTTTTTTGCTAAAGGCTAGCATTCTTACCACTTGAACCTTATTTCCACTTCTGGCTTTTTGGTGGTTTAACTATAGATAAGAATTCCCCAGGCCTGGCTGGCTTTGAACCATGATCCTCAGATCTCAGCCTCTTGAATGGCTAGCATTACAGGTGTGAGCCACTGCCACTTTTGCTCGATCTCTTACTGCATACTCTGCATTGTCATTGTAATTTTGTCTTTCTTTTGGAGCTTTCAAAATTCTCAGTGGCTTCTTTGTATACCTACTTCTGTGTCTTTTGGACATCTGTGGACTCTTACTACAGAGATCAGGAGGTGCCCTATTTTTCCGTGTTTAACATTTGTTCTGTTTCTCTGTTGACTCTGCCTTTGGTATCTCTATCCCTTCTAAAAGATGGCATTCTTTGTGAGAAAGTATTATCTTAGTTTTCTTCTAAAATAGGTCTTGATTTATTGTTATGTATTATTTTTAACTTTGTACCTTTGTGTCAGCTCCCTGGAGCTCCTTTGGTTGTGATGAGTGAGTCTGGGCTTGGTTCCTAATGGAGTTGAAGAGACCCACCATGTGTGGCTGGTACAAGAGTGGATTTGCTAGTGGTACAGCCAGCAGTGTGTGCACCCCTGTGTGGTCAGTCTTGTGAGTGCTGGATTCCAGTGGTAGTAGGACTTCTTTGGGTACTTTTTTCCCCATCGGTAGTGGGGCTTGAATTCAGGGCCTGGGCACTGTCCCTGAGCTTTTCTGCTCAATGCTAGTGCTCTGCCACTTTGAGCCACAGCTCCACTTCTGGTTTTCTGGTGGTTAATTGGAGATAAGCATCTCATAGACTTTCTTGACTGGGCTGGCTTGAACTGTGATCCTCAGACCCCAGCCTCCTGACTAGTTTTATAGGTGTGAGCCACTGGTGCCTGATTCCTCAGGCACTTTTGATGCTTGGATTATCTGAATGTGAGTCTGGTGCTGGCTGCTCTAGTAGTGCTGGGGGCCTGAAGTTCTTTTCCTCTGGTGAGACACTGGTGTCCAAGGCATGAGGTGGGTCAGGAATCACAGCTGCACTTCGCTCGTCTGGTCTTGTCTACAGTGTGTGGTTGGACAAGGTGCGGGACCTCAGGCCCCCTTCCCCACTGTGCACGCCTAAGGATGGGGTGTTGGCCTAGAGCTTACACTTCTTCCCAAATCCTTTCATTTGCAGTGCTCACCAGGGATGGAGTCAGGGACTTGGATTCAGTTCCTCAGTTGCGTCGCTCACAGGAGGGACTGTGGAACGTGGCTGAGGCTGCATTGGGGACCATAGTGGCATGGCTTGGCATCGGTCCCCACATACCTCTGCAGGCCTTCAGAGCTCCTCCAGTTGCTAGCAACAGCTCTGTGTGCCCAGGGGTGTTGAAGAGGTGGTGGTGACCCCACAGGCAGCAGCCCCTAGACCTGGCACCACGTTCTGGTCCTTTGGCTCCTTCCACATCACCGGTCCTCACTCCATCCTTTCTCGAGAAGGCTCCTGGCTGCAGCGCTGGGGGTGCTGGGAGCTGAAGTGAATGCCTTTTCCAGAGCTGGACTGTGCAGACATCGGGCTGGTAAGGGCTGTGATCTTTGCCACCGCCAGCAGCACCAGTACCTGCACCATGGAGTTGGCTGGGTCTCCTCTTTATGCGTGACTCTGCAGTCAGGTGGCAGCAGATTTTTCCTCTTGCTGTGGATGCTGTCCCAAGATGCTTGAGTTTTACAGGATCTCTGGTTGTCAACTGTTTAATTCCACCCAGGGTTGTACAGTCAGTCACCTTGCTGTGTAGCTCTACCCCTGTCGCTTGCGGAGGAGCTAGTGCATGCCGGGTGCCTTTCTGTTCAGCCATCTTGTCTTTTCATGATCAGATAATTTCACTCAGTTGTACCAAGTTATTTTTCTTTTTAAAATGGCCACTATTTTCTTGTGTGTGCACTGGTATGGGGACTTGACCTCATGCTCTTACAGCTAGCACGGCACTCTTACTACCTGAGCTACAGGATTTGTCTGCCTGGGCTGGCTTTGGACCAACAATCTTCAGCCACCTTAAGAGTTAGAAACAGGTATGAGCTGCTGGCACCAGGTCTAAAATTTTGAGTTATCTACAGAAATGTCAACTAGTTTCTAAATAATTCTTTTCTCTTTTGGTACACATAGGCAGGTGATGGTATCAGAAATGGATTTAACATAATCCAGCTATAAATGTGGAAGAATGGGCAGCTTGAGAGATAAAACTTCAATTCATAGCGAAGTCTAAAGTTTAGGGATACAATTGTACTATTTTCTATGTGTGTTTAAAACGTTTCGCTCGCCAGCGGCTCACCCCTGTCATCCTAGCTACTCAGGAGGCTGAGATCTGAGGATCGCGGTTCAAAGCCAGCCCGGGCAGGAGAGACCGTGAGACTCTTACCTCCAATAAACCACCAGAAAACCGGAAGTGATGCTGTGGCTTAAGTGGTAGAGCATTCGCCTTGAGCTGAGGGACAGTCCCCAGGCCCAGAGTTCAAGTCCCACGACCAACAAAAAGTTTTCACTCAAAAAAAAAAGGTAAGAAAAGACCTGCCACATAGTAGCAGCTTTTCATTTGTGTATGCCTATTCTGGGACTGAGTTCTGGGTGCTGTCCCTGAACTTTTTCATCCAAGCTAGTACTCTACCACAAGTCACAGTGCCACTTCTGGCTTTTTGCTGGTTAGAGGTAGGATGTCTCATGGTCCTTCCTTCCTGGACTGGCTTGGAACTGGGACCCTCAAATTTAGCACGAGCAACCTGTGCTTTATGTAGAAGTGACTTACCAATCTATGGAGCCCAAGTCAGCAGCAAAAGAATCACAGCACCACTCCCTGAAATTGACTTTTTAATTCCAAATACTGTACTGTCTTAGACAAGGGCTAGCACTGAGAACAGTGTGCTTCATGGGAAATGGGTGGGTGGGTGGTGGCCTCAGCCCGAGTGCTGTGTGGCCTTGCTGCACCCAACACAAAAGACAAGAAAGATAAGAGAAGGAACCCTAACCTCCCGAAATTAATTCACCTAGGAACAGTAGCGAAGACTTTTGTAGCAAAATTTTCATGATTTTTAAAGTGACAGTCTTCAAAAAGTACTTTTCTCAAATTTTAAAAGCTAAAAAAAAAAAAAACTGAAGAGGGGACAGTCGCACTGGCTCAGAAGAGCTGCACCTGTTGCCAAGGTGACAATCAGTCCTCCTTCCGAAACGCAGTGGGGCTGGCACCTCCCGAAGAGGCTGGTTGGAGGTACTGATCAGGGAAGCCGAGCGCACGTCACGCACGGCGTGCGTCACTAACCGTGAGGCCCACAGCTACTGCTCCTCCTGGCTTGTGCTCAGGTTGACTTTCTGTACCTCAAGCTCCTCGGCGCTGACCATGGATGGATCGATGGCGGCGTATTTGGTTCCGTGGAACTGCAGCAAATGGATCTGTGCAAACACAGGGCGGTGGGGCTGGGATGGAGGCTCAGCTGCCTTGATCGCTGTACCACGCACGCAAAAAGGTTTTATTCTAAAGTTTGACTAATGGGAGAAATCTTGGTAGACACAGAAGACGCAAAAGTTGTTTGAGACCAGGTCTTTACTAGGTGACCCAAGCTAGCCTCTAACTCCTGATCCTCCTGTCCCAGCCTCCCAAGTGCTGGGATTATAGATGTGTACCAGCATATCCTACTAGGGCACATTTTAGGAGACCTAGTGGGTCACAGATCAAAGCTAGCCTGGGCAGCAGGCACTCTACTACTTGAACTATGTATTCACCAGCCCTTTTTGCTTTAGTTATTTTTCTGATCTCTCATCCCCCCCCCACCCCCCAGGACAGCATCAGATCAAATCCTATCTCTCTCATAGCTGGGATGACAGACATACAGCACTATGTGTGGCTTGTTTGAGACGAGGGGTCACTAAATATCTCCTAAGCTGGCCTTGACTCTCAGCTCCTCCCTATCTCTACCTCTAGGTAAGTAGCGGGGATTAAAACTGAGCCACAACACCCATTTCCTATGTTTTCAGATTCTCTCCCTAGTTCTACTTGTACAAGTGGGATAGAAGGATCCAGGAACGTGACTTTCTCCATAAAGCTCCTGGTATCAGCTAAATTGCCAAGGAAGTCACTTGCCACTACCATTCTAGTAGCCCTATAGGTAGAGAATGAAGAAGCGTTTTACTTGGTAGTGGTTTTTTTCTCTCCTTTACTACAATAAGATTATACAAAGAAGCCACTACATCTCCAGCCTCATGTCTACAAATCCCAGCTACCTGGCTGGCAGAGATCGGAAGAACCATAGCTAGAGGCCAGCTGAGACCCCCTCATCTCAATAAATAAGTTGGGTGGTGTGGTGGTACGTGCCTGTAATATCCACAGAGGAGACAGAGGTAACAACTGAAGAAAACGAGCTGTGTGTGACTCAGTGGTAGGGCACCTGCGAGGCACGTGGAGTTCAGACCCCAGAACCACCAAAAAATAGCATAAAAAGTCAGGTGCTGGTGGCTCACGCCTGCAATACTAGCTGAGATCTGAGGATTGTGGTTTGAAGCCAGCTCAGGCAGGAATGTGTGACATTATCTCCAATAATGACCAAAAACCCAGAGTGTAGCTATTGCTCATGTGGTAGAATGCTAGCCTTGAGAAAAAGAATCTAACAGACAGCACCCAGGCCCTGAGTTCAAGCCATAGGACTGGCACCAAAACAACAACAACAACAAAACCTACTTCATGAGGCTCATTTAGGCCTGGTGTAAGGAGCAGGCCTGCTATCCTCGAAAAAGGGATAGTAAACAGAGTACTCCGGGTCTCTCAACACACTGGAGTCCATTTCATCAAGTTAGTGGCCCTTTCCTCCACAAGCTTCTGTCATCCCTTGCTTAATCCACTCTCCAAATCGTGCTGGGAAGTCCCACTGGCTCCAGACTCTAGGTGACCTACCTGTACATAGAGATTCACCTCTGCGCTTCTGCACAGGTAAGGGAAGTTGCCTCCCGTTTTGAGGTGAGCTCGCCGGGCATTGGGGTACAGTTTGTACATTTCTTCCTTGGCTTCGGTTGACAGTGCGCTCTGGTCAAACACCTGAGGAAACACAGGGCAGAGACGAACTGGATTTCACACATTCTTTCCTAACAGACGAACATGCCTCTGCCCAGAGTGGTCCCCGGCCCAGGTCAAACCCAGAGCCTCACACTGTGGTGAGCACTAAAAAGCTTGCTCTGTTCATGTTAAACCACAATGCAGGGGCTGGGAATGTGGCTTAGTAGTAGAGTGCTTGCCTAGCATGCACGAAGCCCTGGGTTTGATTCCTCAGTATTACACAAATACAAAAAGCCAGAAGTTGTGCTGTAGCTCAAGTGATAAAGTGCTAGCCTTGAGCAAAAGAGCTCAGGGACAGTGCCCAGGCTCTGAGTTTAAGCCCCAGGACTGGGGAAACCAAAAATAAAATGCAGCAATCAGAGCAGAGTGCAGTTAGTTTGCATGCTTTAGGGTAATTTCCTGACCAAGAAAGTCTTAAAAATAAATCTATTTATTCCTAAATTCAAATAACATGAGGCAAAAATAAAGTGGTTACCTTTTTTTTTAAAGCTAGGTGTCGGTGGATTACACCTATACATTCCTAGTTACTCTGGAGGCTGAGATCATGGTTCGAAGCCAGCCTGGGCAGGAAAGTCCATGAAATAATCTTATTGCCAATACATAACCCAAATAAGCAGGAAGTGGTGCTGTGGCTCAAGTGGTAGAGTGCTAGCCTTGAGCAAAAGAAATTCAGTGCCCAGACCCTGTGTTCAAGCCTTAGGACAGAGGGGGGGAGGGGAAGGGGAAGATGGGTGCTGGTGGCTTACACCTATCATGCTAGTTATTTGGGAGGTTGAAGATCACATTTCAGAGTCAGCTTAGGCAGACAAATCCTTAAGCCTCTCATCTCCAACTAACCTACAAAAAGTAGAGATGTGTTGGGGCTGGGAAGGTGGCTCAGTGGTAGAGTGCTTGCCTTGAATACATGAGGCCCTGGGTTCGATTCCTCAGCACCACATAAGCAGAAAAAGCCAGAAGTGGCGCTGTGGCTCAAGTGGTAGAGCGCTAGCCTTGAGCTGAAGAGCTCAGGGACAGTGCCCAGGCCCAGAGTTCAGGCCCCATGACTGACCAAAAAAAAAAAAAAGGTGGAGATGTGGTTCAAGGGTAGAGTACTAGGCAGGGAGTGGAAAGAAAAAAAAGCTGAATGGGAGGTCCTGAGTTCAAGCCCCAGCAGTGTCACACACATGCATAAGCAAGTCAGGGCTGTAGGTCACTGGTACAGTGCAGTTAGAAGCCCTGGGTTCCATCCCAGCAATAACAAAACTCACCAGAGTGAGACACCACTTCATACCCATTAGGATTGCCATTATTAAAAAAAAATCAGGAAATAACTCTTGTTCGGACTATAGAGAAATCAGAACCTTATGCACTGCCAAGGGGGATGTAAAGTATTACAGCCACATGGAAACATTGGGGTAGTTCAGTCCTCAAAGTTAAGGCAGCGACCCCTCTTGCAGGCACACACCCACAATAACGAAAAGCAGGACTCAACAGATACCTTCATCCCAGAGTTCACAGATGCTTTCATTAGTCACAAGGGCCAGCATGGACAAACAACCTGGGTGTCCACTGACCCAGGCATGGATGGGTAGAATGTTACTCAGCCTTAAAGGCACAATATTTGAACATGTTATAGCATCAATGCATCTTTTTTGTTGATCATGGGGCCCGAACCCTGGGCCCGGGCTAGCTCAAGGCTAGTGCTCTACCACTTGAGCCACAGCGCCACTTCCAGCTTTTTCTGCTTATGTGGTGCTGAGGAATTGAACCCAGGGCCTCCTGCATACAAGGTAAGCACTCTACCACTGAGCCACCTTCCCAGTTCACATTTTTTTTTTTTAAAGGTACTGGGGTCTGAACATGGGATCTTGTATTTATTAGGCAAGTGCTCTGCCACTTAGCTAATGCCTTCAACCTCAAAAATCCTTAAAGCATTGTGCTAAGTGAAAAAAGCAAGGCACAAGAATCTGAGAGGGTAGGCAACTTCACAGAGACACAAAAGTGGACTGTCGGTTGCCAGGGACCAGAGAGGAAAGAAGGAAGAGCAGTTATTGTTCAAGGGAATGGCGGGGGGACGGGGGGGAGAGGAGGTGGTGTGGTGTAGAGGATCGCGCTGGGCAGTGGTGGCTCACGCCTGTAATCTTAGCTACTCAGTAGGCTGAGATTTGAGGATCACGGTTCAAAGCCAACCCAGGCAGGAAAAGTCCGTGAGACTCTTATCTCAAATAAACCAACAGAAAACTGGAAGTGTTGCTAGCTCAAGCGGCAGAGTGCTCCCCTTGAGCTGAAGAGCTCAGGGATAGCGCCCAAGCCCAGAGTTCAAGCCCCAGGACTGACAAAAAAAAAAAAAAAAGTTCTGGTTGGCTTCTGTCTAATTCCAGCTGCATAGGAGGATCACTGTATGAAGCCAGCTGGGCAAAATGTCTGAAAAGACTCCATCTCAACAGAAAAACTGGCTACTACAATAGGAAACAAAGTTTGGGCAAAACAAAGATCCTGCCTGCCTAGTGAGCTCCAAGCCCCAAATTCAAATCCCAGTACCACACACAAACTTCTGGGATAGAATAGTGATGACGTTTGTACAATATTGATAATGTACTCAGTTCCCAAACCATTTAAAAAACTAGCCTGGTCAATTTTGATATATTAAAACAGAAAAGAACAGGTTAGGGTTGTAGCTCAGTTGTAAAGCACTTGTCCAGCAAGTACAAAGCCTTGGGTTTGATCCCTAGCACAAAAATTAAAAAAAAATTTTTTTTTACTGTACCCAGGGGGCTGGGACGGTGGCTCAGTGGTAGAGTGCTTGCCTTGTATGCATGAGGCCCGGGGTTTGATTCCTCAGCACCACATAAGCAGAAAAAGCTGGAAGTGGTGCTGTCATTCAAGTGGTAGAGCGCTCGCCTTGAGCTGAAGAGATGAGGGACAGCGCCCAGGCCCAGAGTTCAGGCCCCATGATTGGCAAAAAAGCACCCAGATGGGTAAAGTCTAAGCAGGCTGTGTAAGTCTATGTTGCTCTTGCCAGGAGAAAAAAAAATCCAGGAAGTGAGAAAAACTAAAAGCAAGGCAGCCTTTGCAATAGCTCATCTGAAATGATCTGACATGGCAGGAGGGGAGGGGAGCAAAGCTTACATCCATGATGGTTACTGGAATGTCCCGAATTTTATGAGGTTCCACATAAGAGTTCTGACAATTCAGGGTGAGTCTTGAAGCCAGTTCGCTCTGCCCCAAACTTTCCAGCTGCAGAAAGAAACACTGGTAAGGTTTCTGAAATAATTCTAGGTATTTATGTCAAAGTCTACAGATGTTTATGGTTCCACAGCTCTCAACCAGGTGTCCACGGGCAGAGCAAGCCAATCTGTGCCCCTCAACATTGAAGGGATCTTTGACCCGGAAGAGATCTCACCAATTACCTGTCCATTAGCTCCTAAATGGAAGCCTGCAGACCTGGTTCATCACATTTACCTGAGCAGGAGAGGGTAAAATTGCAGATCCCAGCTAAGTGTAGTGTAGAGGCTCCCACTTGTAATCGCAGCACTCGGAGGCAAAAATGATTCCCAGCCTAAACTAAAGAGTTGCAACTCTGTCTCAAAGCACTGAAGAAAAAAAAAAGGAAAATCTCCCAGGTTTCTAGATTCCAGGTGGATTGTCTCATGTGAAGCCTTAGTATGTTTCCAAGATGGGAGTCTTACTATGTTGCCCAGGCTGGCTTTGAACTCTCAATCTTCCTTAGGTTCATGAGTTCTGGGATTACAGGAATAAGCTAACCATACGCAGGTTTGAATTAAAAAAAAATCATTTTGGGGCTGGGAAGGTGGCTCAGTGGTAGAGCGCTTGCCTTGCATGCCTGAGGCCCTGGGTTCGATTCCTCAGCACCACATAAGCAAAAAGAAACAAGCCAGAAGTGGCACTGTGGCTCAAGTGCTAGCCTTGAGCTGAAGAGCTGAGGGACAGCGCCCAGGCCCAGAGTTCAGGCCCCACGACCGGACCCAAAAAAAAAATATATTGTACATACTAATAGAATAACACAGTTGGTAATGTTTAAATCAGGTTGAACACACTTTAAACATTTATCATTTGTTTAGGTAAAAACCTTTCAAAACCTTTCCTTCTAGAGTTCTGCAGTTTAATACATTACTGTTCTATTGGGGGGGGGAGGCAGGTTTTGAACTTGCTAAGCAGGCATTCAGCTCCCATTTGGAATCTGGCATCTAGATGCTCCCCAGGGGATGTGGGTGAAGAACCATGGGAAGCACTCACGTAGCCAGGCCTTACGAGTGGGAATAAAGCATTAAATGTTGGGGTCAATGAGAAGGATGGATCTCCCTCGAGGTCACTGTGGAAATCCCCAGTCCAAGGTGTCCCCACGCCCCAGCCACGAGCCTTACCCTGTCTACCATGAAGTCAATGGCATCGGCCATCACGGGGTCCACCGGGCCAGACGAAAAGTTTCCGAGAACTATTTTTTTGAGCATAAAGGAGGGCATCAGCCAAAAGCTGGAAAATAAAGAGTGGCAGGCTTGACTTTGGTGCTTCCTGGCACTTGAGTGCCACTCGGTGATGGCAGCACTGCTTCACCTCTTTTCCTGCTGGCTTTTGCAATGTCCCTCTCCCCCTCCCCCAGTGCTGCACACAGACTGAAGTCAGAGGTGAGGATTTCTTAGAAGTTCTGGAATGAGAGCTCTCTTCTATTAATGCACTGTATATAATTTACTTTACTGAGATGCAAAGCATCACCAGTGAGGAGGAGGGATACTGGAAAGAGGAAGATTAGAGTTTGCAGAGGGTGGAAAAGGAAATCTAGTCAGGTGCAGAGAGAAAAGCCCACACAGGACACAGCTTTTCCCAGAGGAACCCTGGGTAAAAATGGGTGGTGGGGAACACGCTGCTTTTCGGGTGGACATAGGTGCTATGTACATGGTACTAATACTACACCAGCACATAAGCTATATGGGTTACTACTCTGGAATGAGACCACCCCTTTTGCCACCTTTGCAGAGCCATCTTGTACTCTCATCCTGAAGCACGGATTTATTTTTGTTGTTGGTCGTGGGGCCTGAACTCTGGGCCTGGGCACTGTCCCACAGCTCTTCAGCTCAAGGCTAGCACTCCACCACTTGAGCCACAGCGCCCCTTCCGGCTTTTTCTGCTTATGTAGTGCTGAGGAGTCAAACCCAGGGCCTCATGCATGCAAGCACTCTACCACTGAGCCACCTTCCCAGCCCCCGAAGCACAGATTTTTTTTTTGTGCATCCCAAAGTAATGAAACAAATGAAGGCTCAGATGTATGAGCTGGTAATCTCTATCCTCTCCCCTATGGCTGTATAGAGAAGTAGACCTCTTGCATGCCTGACAGACCTTCCCCTGTTTGACCAGAGCACTGGGCTTAGCTGTATACCAAAATGTTGCCTCAGGATGGTCTATCCTGCTTGGATTCCTTCTCAATTTGCTTTTTAGCTCTAGACTTACTGGGTGTATTTGCTGCACTAGAAGTGGGAGCAAATCTTTTCCTAGAAACCATCTGGGAAGGGCCTTTGAGGGCAGTACACCAGATGGGAATGGGGTCAATCTCCATAGGAAACAGATGGGCTGGCCTATCTCAGTCCTGTAATCCTAGCTACTCGGGAGGGTGAGATCTGAGGCTCGTGTTTCAAAACCAGCCTAGGCAGGAAAATATGTGAGACTCTTATCTCCAAGTAATCACAAAGTGGTAGAGTGCCTGCCTTGAGTACAAAAGCTCAGGGATGGGCTGGGAAGGTGGCTCAGTGGTAGAGCGCTTGCCTTGCATGCCTGAGGCCCTGGGTTCGATTCCTCAGCACCACACAAGCAAAAAGAAAAAAGCCGGAAGTGGCGCTGTGGCTCATAGTGGTAGAGCGCTAGCCTTGAGCTGAAGAGCTAAGGAACAGTGCCCAGGCCCAGAGTTCAGGCCCCACAACTGACCAAAAAAAATTAAAGCCAGAGAAGTTGCAGAATTCAGAAACAGATACAAATCTTTCTTCTCCACTGCGCGCGCGCGTGCACGCACGCGCACACACACACACACACACACACACACACCTTAAGCCAACAGTCCAGAACATTCTGACCTGCTGTTTATGTCTCACCTGTTTGCAGTCCATGTCTGGTTGAAGATGGAGGTGTCGCTGAAGGCATTGCAGAGAATGAGGGAATGGACTCTAGGAGATTTGTGAGTGTACTCGGCAAATTTCTGAGCCAGAAAGCCTCCCAAAGAAGCCCCGAATAGATGGACCTAATTATAAACAAACATAAGGCAGGGCCCAGAACGCTGATCAATTCCCAACAGGAGTATATAAAAAAAAGTTACTTCGGTTATCACTAATCCCAGAATACAACGTCATCACAATTCAATAGTCTGATCTATACAGTAGCTAGAAATGTAAGAAACACTATATTTAAATGAAGTTTACACACCACATCAAGAAAACAACACAACTGTGCCTTCAAATTACGTATACCAGTTAAAAATAGTACCCAAAGAGGGGCTGGGAAGGTGGCTCAGTGGTAGAGCGCTTGCCTCGCATGCACGAGGCCCTGGGTTCGATTCCTCAGAACCACATAAGTAGAAAAAACCGGAAGTGGCACTGTAGCTCAAGTGGTAAAGCACTAGCCTTGAGCTCAAGAGCTGAGGGACAGTGCCCAGGCCCAGAGTTCAGGCCCTATGACCAGATTAAAAAAAAAAAAATTCCAAAATCTGAAATATTTTTATCTTTTGTCACTCACCCCTGGGTGGCTGAACTCAGGGCCTCCTTCTCTCAAGCTACACAAGCATACTTGTACCATGCCCCAAGCCATTTAGTTTATTTATTTTGGGGAGGGGAGGACTGGAGCAGTATTAGGAGTTTGAACTGAGAGCTCTGAACTACTGCTCAGCTTTTTCCACTCATTACCAGTGTTCACCAGTCTGGCATTTTGCTGGTTTTCTGCCTGGGCTAGCTTTGAACCTAGATCCTCATATTTCAGCTTCCTGAGTAGCTAGGATTAATGGCATGAGTTACTAGTGCCTGGCTGTAGTTTTTATTTTTTGTCAGTTATGGGGCTTGAACTGTCCCTGAGCCTCTTTGTGCTCAAGGCTTGCATTCTACCATTTGAGCCACAGCGCCATTCCCGGTGGTTAATTGGAGATAAGAGTTTCACAGTCTTTCCTGCCAGGGCTGGCTTTGAACTCTGATCCTCAGATCTCTGCCTCCTGAGTAGCTAGGATTACAGAAGTGAGCCACCAGTGCCCTGAAGTTTTTATTTTTTGACCCTAGCTCAAAAGGTCAGGGGCTGACCTTGAATTCTCAGTCCCCCTGCTTCAACTTCCTAAGTGGCCAGGATTACAGGTGTGTACTACCTCATTCATCCAAAACCTTAAACACTTCTGATCTTGAGCATTTCAGATAAGGGATACTCAAGCTGAACTGACTCATGCTATGAGACAACTTGAGAAATGTTGCAAAAGACCAAACAGCATATGATCACATTATGTAAAATAACCAGAAAAGACAAATCACAGAAACAGAAAACAGCAGGCTGCAGAGCTAGGAAAGAAGATGGGGAATCAAAGCTGATCAATCTGGGACTTTTTTTGGGGGTTCAGTCACGGGGCCTAAACTCGGAGCCTGGGCATTGCCCCTGAGCTCTTTTGCTCAAGGCTAGAGCTCTATCAATTGAGCCACAGAGTCACTTCTAGTTTTCTGGTGGTTACTGAAGAATCTTATGAGCTTTCCTGCCTAGGCTAGCTTTGATCTGCTATCCTTAGATTTTAGCCTCCTCATTAGCCAGGATGACAGACATAAGCCACTGGCGCCAGGCTTTTTTCTTTCCTTTTTTTAAAATAAAAATTGATATAGTGTTTTCATAAAAATTGATATGTAATTCAGGCTGGCCTAAAACTTGAGCTCCTCCCTGGCTCAGCCTCCTGAATGCTGGCTTGGAATTTCTTTGTGGGAAAATTCCCCACCCCCCCCCCAAAAAAAAATTAAAGGTGATAGCTGCAGGCATCTGGGAGTTTACTAAAAAATATTTAACTGTATAAAAGGTAAATTATGTGATATGTGAATTATATCGCAGTAAGGCTATCATTAAAAGAAAGAAAACCCCAGGCAAGGTGGCTCACACCTATAATCCTAGTTACTCAGGAGTCTGAGATTGGGAGGTTTGAGATAAAAAGCTAGAGGTAGCAGGGTGTGCCTGTCACCCCAGCTATCAGGGAAGCATTAATAGGAGGATCGCAGGCCAGGAAAAAAGCACGAACCCTTTTGGAAATTAACAAATGCAAAAAGGGAATAGGGGTGTCAGTCAAGTGGTAGAGCACCTAAGGCCCTGAGTTCAAATCCCAGTCTTCCCCCTAAAAAAAGGACAACTCCAAGCTTTACAAGATAAATGTTACATTAAAAATGCATGTAGTAAATTAGGTTCCAGGGTACTCACTTTATCCAATTGTAAATGGTCTAAAAGTTTTCTGAACCCATCACAGAATTCAAGGTGATCCCAATAAACTGGATACTGCAGCTGAAATGACAAGTTCACTTTAAAAAACCATGGGAGTAAAAATGCAACTCATTTGAGGGGGAAAAAAAAAAGAACCTTACATAATAGCATTTCTTATTTGCTCAAGCTTTGCCTCTTAAAATATATGAAAGCTTTCACTTTCTTCTAAACTTAACGTATTTTACCTAAAGACCAAAATTTCGAGAGAATAAAAAGTGAACATACTCTAGGGATATATGTGAATAACAACTTTAGCTCACATCAACTGCCAAATTAGCTAAGTGTGAGGTTGAAGGGAGAGTAGATCAGAACGGATCCAAGGAAAGACATGGTGTTGTCTGGATGGGAGGATGGCTCAGTGGCAGAGGCCGGCACCTAGCAAGCACAGGGTCTTGAGTTCAAACCCTGGGAGTTGGGGAGAGAAAGATGCTGATTGCCACTGGCTCATACCAAGAAGCCAGTGGCTTCTTGGGAGGCTGAGAGGGAGGATCGTGGTTTGAGGCCAATGCTGGGGAGAAAATTTTTTAACCTATAACTAGGCCCCATGATGATGGGAAACAAGGTAGGTGGAATGTGGCTCAGACCCTTGGTTGGACAGGAAGTCCTAAAAATTAGGAACAAATAGGGCTCGGTGGTACCTCACCAGCCTAGCAAGGGCCGGGTACCGAGGCAATACTGTTTAAGCCCAATTGCCTTGTGAATGGAGGATATGATGTTCAAAGAGCTCAAGAGAACTGGAAATAACATTTGTTCTGAGGAGGGATCCCTCTATTCAGTACTATTTCCTTAAGGAGCAATCAATAAGATGGTTCTTTTGGATTGACTTATTGTATCTGGTCTCTTGTTCTTTATTACACTGAAAAGAGTATGGCACTTGGCCCTTTAATACTGGTGATGGGGAGAACAACAAAGCATAAACTCATCTCTAGAGGATTCAGGCTTGTCTCCTAAGAATTTCCCTGTTTTTATTATATTAATATGTATTTTTTTGGTTGGTTGTAGGGCTTGAAGTTGGGGCCTGGGCACTGTCTCTGAGCTCTTCAGCTCAAGGCTAGTTCTCTACCACTATGAGCCACAGCTGTACTTCTGGTTTTCTGGTAGTTAATTGGAGATAAGAGTCTCATGGACTTTTTTGCCTGAGTAGCCACCAGTGCTAGCTTCCTCTGTTTTTATATACATAAAACCCATCTGACAGGCTTGTTGTTTAAGTACTTATATTTATTCTGCTAATATACCATCATGTATATTAGAGGATAAGTTTTGATTTGATATATTGCTTTAATTATTAAAATTCGGTTTGTGTAGCCAGGCACTGGTGGCTCACGCCTGTAATCCTAGCTACTCAGGAGGGGAGATCTGAGGATCAAGGTTCAAAGCCAGCCCCAGCAGGAAAGTCTGTGAGACTCTTATCTCTCTAATAAACCACCAGAAAACCAGAAGTGGAGCTGTGGCTCAAAGTGACAGAGCGTTAGACTTGAACAGAAAAGCTTAGAGACAGCTTCCAGCCCCTGAGTTCAAGCCCCATGAATGACCAAAAAAAAAAAAAGTCTCCATTATGCAAAAGTAATTAATCTGAATTTTAATACTGATACAGCAATACTTACAGCTATCACCCGGTAACCCCATCCAGTCAATGCCAAAATTTGCTGGAAAAATACATCTGCAGTTCCGCTGACAGGAGGAAGAAATATGAGAGGACACCTGATACTCCTGGGGCCGGCATCATAGAGTGACCATATCTTACTGTCATCGTCATCAACAATAATCTGCAGAGAAAGTGAAAACAAGAACTCTTACATCTGGTTTCGATGCATAGTTTCAAAGACAATTTAATACTGCCTTGACCTGGGGGGTCATAGAGGATTCAGTGCACACAACAAACTGCTCTGATTTCCTTTTCTTTTCTCGCATTCCACGGAGTTGGGTGGCTCTTTTGGTCTTGAATTTTCCTGTCCATAATAACAGGAAGAAGCTTGATTTACCATCAGATTTAACATCAAACAGTAAACTCTGGGCATGGCATCTTTTGCCCCCTCCCCGCCCTTGCATGCTTGTGGCTCTGTGTATGTTTGTGTGTGCATGCGCATGTGTGTACAAGAAGCAAGCTGGCAGTCAGTTTCCCATGCTGGGATCAGCAGGCTGCCACAGAGATCAGTACCCTAGGCTATGTGGTGAAGCAGGTAGGGATGGCTCCAGCTGAGGAGAGATGCTTTGGACCTGGTCTGGACCAAGCCTGAGGGGTGGGAAGTGACTCCAGAGGAAGGCTGAATGGCTGCTATGTGACCCTGGCCTAGTAGGTAAGGCAAAGCAGGTGTACATGAGGAGTCTGGAAGATGCCTCAGGCCAAACTGTGGGGGTGAGCAGTGGGCCCCGGGAGAAAACAGGCTCTTCTGGGAGAGGAGGGAGGAGGGGTCATCAGAAACCATCTTAAGTTAGTGGTTATTAACCAGGCACTCTGCAGCCAAGTGTGACTATTATAATTCACTGCACAAGCATTTGCCAGTTCAAATCAATATAGGCTCTACTTTTAGGTTGGAAAACCTCAGGGCCCCTAAATGCTTCTGTCTGAACCTCCTAGCTGGCTCTCCACAGTCACTCTCAGGACAGCAGCACACTGACCTGAGGTTACTGCATCACAGGGAGCTAATTCACAGGGCAAGGCCAAGTCTACAGAGATGGAGTAATGGCCCGGATTTCCCAATGTCACACAGGAATCTCTTCCCCTGTGTATTTTGCCACTCACAATTTTGTTTTACTTTCCTGGTTTCTTGTGGTTTAAAATACAAGCAAACAAGCTAGGTGCCCAGTGGCTCACACCTGTAATCCTAGCTACTTAGGGAATTTGAGGATCCAAGTTCAAAGCCAGCCCAGGCAGTGAAGTCCTTGAGACAATTAAATAAATTACCAAAAAAAAAAAAAAGGAAAAGAAAAGAAGTGGCACTGTGGCTCAAGTGGTAGAGTACTAGCCTTGAGCAAAAGAAGCTTAAGGACATTGCCCAGGCCCTGAGTTGAAAAGGAATGGAAACCAAAACAAAACCTCTTAAGAACCTTAGATTGGCGCGGGGGGGGGGGGGGGGGGGGGGGGGGGGGGGGGGGGGGGGAGGCTGGGAAGGGATGTGAAGGGTAAACAAAGGAGGAGGCTGCAATGCTTTATAAGAAATGTACTCATTATCTTGCCCATGTAATTGTAACCCCTCTGTACAGTATGTTCACAAAATAAAATAAAAGAACCTTTGACAATGCATACCCACAAATCTCAATCTTATAGTAATAAAGTCATGCAAGACAAACATATCTTTTAGGGAATTATCCAAATAATTTAATTTGTAAGAAAAGTAACATGGATAGCATCTTCTTCTTTTTTTTTTTTTTTTTTTGGGTCTGGTCGTGGGGCCTGAACTCTGGGCCTGGGTGCTGTCCCCCAGCTCTTCAGCTCAAGGCTAGCGCTCTACCACTTGAGCCACAGCACCACTTCTGGCTTTTTTTTTTCTTTTTGCTTATGTGGTGCTGAGGAATCGAACCCAGGGCCTCATGCATGCAAGGCAAGTGCTCTACCACTGAGCCACCTTCCCAGCCCCAGGATAGCATGTTCTTAAAAGTGACAAGAGACCATAGCTATAATTACATACGCTATTATTTTGACTTTCTCAAGAGTTTTGTAATTGGTCATTTTGTCAAAATTCCTATAGAAAAATAACAGTTTGATAATTAGAAGACAAGCACCACAAAATTTAAAGCAAACTTATGCTTTATGGACTAAAATGATAATTGGAAATTTTTAATCAATAAAACTACATCCTAGGGGCTGGGAAGGTGGCTCAGTGGTAGAGTGCTTGCCTTGCATGCCTAAGGCCCTGGGTTCGATTCCTCAGCACCACATAAGCAAAAAGAAGAAAGCCGGGAGTGGCGCTGTGGCTCAAGTGGTAGAGCACTAGCCTTGAGCTGAAGAGCTGAGGGACAGCGCCCAGGCCCAGAGTTCAGGCCCCTCGACCGACAAAACAACAACAACAACAACAACTACATCCTAGCTGGGCCCAGAGTTCAAGCCCCACAACTAACAACAACAACAAAAGCCCAACAAAAACTATGTCCTACAATGACTTCTAAGATTGTTTGGGTACATTTGGATATTTGGGATCTGGTGGTCTAAATACAGGAGCTCCAGGCCTAGAGTTCAGGCCCCATATTCGCTCGGACCCAAAACCAACCAACCAACCAAACAAATAAATACAGGCGCTCTTGGGGATCACCTGAAAGACCGAGGCAGGTAGAGGGACCCTGGGGCCGCTTCTCCTGGGAGGACAGTGGATCCAGAGGGCAGAACGGAAAGGATTCCCTTATAAGCAGCCCACATTCTTATGCCTTTGAAATTCCATGAAGTACAGATGAAACACAGCTGTAGTTTTTCTACTAAAATAAAATGAGCTGAGCACTAGTGGCTCATGCTTATAATCCTCGCTACTCAGGAGGCTGAGAGCTGAGGAAAAGCTTGAAGCCAACCTAGGCAGCAAAGTCCATGAGACTCTTATCTCCAGTGAACCATCAAAAAGCCAGGAGTGGAGATGGGGCCTAAGTGGTAGAGCATTAGCCTTGAGTGAAAAAGCTCAGAGACAGCGTCCAGGCCCTGAGTTCAAGTATCACTACCAGCACAAAATAAAACTATTCTTTACAAACTAACTTTATCTTAAAATATTAACATGTTAAAATCTAAGCCATTTTGCCAGGTGCTGGTGGCTCACACCTGTAATCCTAGCTACTCAGGAGGCTGAGATCTGAGGATCGAGGTTCAAAGCTAGCCCAGGCAGGAAAGACCGTAAGACTCCTATCTCCAATAAACCACCAGAAAACCGGAAGTGGCGCTGTAGCTCAAGTGGTAGAGCATTCGCCTTGAGCTGAAGAGCTGAGGGACAG